ACAGTTTTGTTCTTTTTGTACCTAATTTCAAGTGTTTGTTCTTCTATTGATTAGAATTATATCAACTATTTATATTAACTTATTATTTTTTTATATTCATTTATATTTGAGAGAGAGAGAGAGTGACTGAGCACATGTGCACAGGAGGAGCAGAGAGAGAGGGAGGCAGAGGATTTGAAGCAGGCTCTGTCCTGACAGCAGAGAGCCTGATGCAGGGCTTGAACTCATGAACAGTGAGATCATGACCTGATCCGAAGTCAGACGCATAACCAACTGAGCCACCCAGGTGACCCTAATTCATTACTGGGTTATTTTGGTGTGTTTTTACATTTTACAACCATGGCAAGTGTCTCTCTTGCCTCATCCTAGTGCTAGCCTTAATCACCACTAATCAACATTTTGACCCTGTTTGACTTAACTGTAACCACTTTGTTTCTAGCTCTTAATTGTTGTCCTTGGTCTCTGCTGGCTCACATGGCCTTTAAATCCAACCAGGCCACAGAAACAGTCCCATAATCTCATTCCCTTAAGGACCACTGCTTGATTACTTTTCTTCGAGGGCCAGTGGTCTATCGAGATTTTCTGTTTCTTCTCGAGAAAATTTTGGTAATTTTAAAAAGTTGATCATTTAATCTAGGTATTTAGAATGTTAGCGTTGAATCCATTTACTGATTTTTTTTGAGCAGGAAGCAGGCAGGAGGAGAAGGAGAAACAGAATCCCAAATAGGCTCGATACCCAGCATGGAGACCCACTAGGGGCTCTATGCCATGACCATGCTGAAATCATGACCTGAGCAAAATCAAGATTTGGACAGTCAACTGACTGAGCCACCCAGGCTCCCCTCCATTTACTGATTTTGAATGCCTAATATAATTATCTATAGTTAATTAAATCTCTGATAGTCCTAATTTTTATATCTTTTCTTTAGCTTGATGAATTAAAGTTTTATTTATTTTGTTTTTCCTCAAAAAAAAGTTTTCATTGTTCTAAATGATACTTTCAGTATTTTTGCTTGCTACTCATTATTTCTTTTTTTTTTTAATGTTTTTTTATTTATTTCTAGGAGAGAGAGAGAGACAGCGTGAGCAGGGGAGGGTCAGAGAGAGAGGCAGTCACAGACTCTGAAACAGGCTCCAGGATCTGAGCTGACAGTCAGCACAGAGCCCGACGCGGGGCTTGAACCCACGAACCGCGAGATCATGACCTAAGCGAAAGTCGGACGCTTAACCGACTAAGCCACCCAGGCGCCCTGCTACTCATTATTTCTTTAACATCTGATGTTTATTATTTCATTTCTTCTTTCTTTGAGTTTACTTTTTAAAAACTATTTGAAGAGAAAACTGCTTTATTTTCAACTTATTTAATGCATTATTTATTATTTACTTATTTTAATGCATTTAAAGCTATTAACTTTAAATGTCCATTTAGACATAAAGTTCTTTTTTTTAGTTTTAAATGTTTTCTGATTTCCATTATAATTGCTTTTTAACCTATGAAAAGTTTTAAGATCTGTAAACAAAATTGCTTTGATTTTATTTATTTGTTTATTCCAACTTAATTATCTTGTAGTCTAGCAGATGGGCCATAGGATATTTAATCTCTGGAATATGTGCAGTTTTGGGGAAATATTCTGTAATCAAAATAAATAATATTTTAACACAGTATTTTTTAAATTTAAAGTTAGTGCCAAAAAGCCCCATAATGAACAAAATATCAGTGTCCTGCCAAGCTATATTGAAGCCTGAGGCTAAAAGAAAAAATTAGTACTGATTCTGTCTTTCTTTAAATTTTGATATTTTGCACCCTACTCTCAGTTTGACCCACGGGAACCATTAGCAATGAACAGACCACTAAATCCAACTCGACCTGTACAGTAGTCAAAATCTAGCTCTGGTAGTGAATGAAGGCTTTGCCCAGTTTCAAGCATACCAATAAGACCTGGAGAGTAGAAAATAGCAGCTTTTTAGATGCATTAGTAAGACAAATGAATGAAGGAGGTAGGAAATAAAGCCCTCAATTACATAGGGACTTGTATTTTCATGGGCTTTCTGGGATTCAGTGATCTGCCAGATGTCAGGGTATCTCTCATCCCAAGGTGAAAGACAAGTTGCTGAACCTCCTAACATAAATCTGTTAAGACAGAGGGACAATGCTTGTTTTCTTTGGATTTTGGAGGGCAGCATGGTTGGGTCTAGAAAGCTTTCTATTTTATTAAGGTTTTCAAACTCATTACTCAAAATAACCAGAGAATTCTCTTGAGTTTCAAATTCTCTCTCTCTATAGAGATTCCTGTGAATGCCCCCTTTTCTTTCTAATGTTGTTTGTGTGTATCTTCTCTATTTTTTTTCATCTTTCTTAAAAACGACTTCACTCTTTTACATAGAACCAGCTCATGGTTTTATTATCTCTAGTAGGGGTTTTTTTTTCTGTTTATTTTATTAACATCTGCTTATCACATTGATTCCTCTTTTCCAATTTCTTTGGGAGTATTTTTTTTAAAGTTTATTTCTTTATTGAGAGAGAGAGAGCAAGTGTGTGAATGGGGAGGGACAGAGAGGGAGAGAATCCCAAGTAGGCTCCTCCTTGATCAAGAGTCAGAGGTTTAACTGAATGATCCACCCAGCTGTCCCGCTTTGGGAATATTTAATAGGACTTTAGTAGAATGTGATTGAATTAAAGCTTAATTAATTTGTTTTCACTCTTCCTAGCATCCTAATTTTAGGTTAGATTTTCTTCTGGATATCACTTTGGCCCATCCCTTAGGTTTTTCATATATATAGTACTATCATTTTCCTCTTCATTCGAAATAGTTTGCAACATCCCATATTATGTTGTCCTTAACCTAAGGGTTGTGTGTATTTTAATGTACATGCATTTGGAACACTTTATATATTCTATTGTCTACTGTTGGTTTCTATCTTCATTTTTATGTAATCTGAAAGTATGCCATATGTGATATCAGTTTAGGGTCTTTATAATGTCTTTATGGTCTACTTTTTGGAGAATTTTTATAAGTGTTCCATGTATGTTTGAAAAAATGTACTTTTCTAGTTAAAAACAAAAATAAAATGTAGATATATATTAACCAAATTACTTACGTTATCCCAATATCGCCTTATACCTACTTTTCTTCCATTTGATCTGTTTCTCAAAGATATGTTAGTTACTGTGATTGTGAGTTCCTCAAAATTTCCCTGTTTTACCAGCTTTTGCTGTATACATTTCAGAGCTACATTGTTAGATAGATGTTATTAGTGTTGTATGCTCTTGGTAGCTGCATTTTATTAAAACACAGAACATCTCTGTTAATATTGTTTGCTTTTAAATTTGTATAATCTAATACTATCAACACACCTGCTTTCTTCTTGATAATATGCCCTTGTAGATAATTCTTAAATTCATTTCCTTTTTAAATTTCTACTGTGAAATTTTTACATGAATATTAAAGAAATGAGAACATTATAATAAATTTCATGTACCTATCAGCTGCTTTCATCATTTACCAACATAGTTATTTTTGTTTTATCCTTTTACCCCTCCTCAGTAAACTTCTTTAAGCTAACATTTTGTTAGTATTTCCACATAAATCACTAAAAGATAAGTCTTCTGGTTAACATAATCATATTACCAACAAAATGAAGAGCAATCTTTAGAAAATGTGTGTTCACTAATAGACTTCCACAGATTCTTCCTTAAACTAGTCTTTGGGAGAAGAAAGACCAGCTACTGAAAGCACAGTTCAACCCTCTAACTGGCCCAATTTTTAAGCTAAAGCCCAGAGAGGGACATAAATAGCCTGAAGGTACCCAGCATGCCCACATCAGAGCCTCTGTCTAGCTCCCTCAAAACACTTTTCCCACTGCTGGGACTGCTAAAGGACTTTCAGTAGGTCACAGAACCTCCTATCACTGTCGGACAGGACTTCCTGGCAGAGGCAATATTTAGCTGGGTTTTAAAGAATGATTAGGAGTTCGCCAGATGAAAGGAATTGTGTCTTTACAACCCCCCCCCCCCACTCATAAGCACCTCCTGGACTTTAGGCTTCATTTACATACTAAGGACGTTGTTATTACTTAGATTTGAATGTACAAATAAACAAAAATAGCAGTTTCCCTTAGATGCTTTTTGTCACAAGTTGACCATATTAAAAACTATTATTATTTTTATAATTGTTGCCCACTAACGGAAATTAATGAGGATGCAAGCTCTATTTTCCTCCACCAGCCCTCCAGAGGTGCCGTCTTGCCCTGGTGGCATCCCTCAGCAGAGAACTAGACCGTACCGATTAGTACCTTTTATATATCCCCAGGGGGTTTCTCCCCCAAAGGGTAAACTACCCTTCCGGCCGCAGACGGGCCGTTCTGGCATCTCTTTTGCCGGTGGCTTCGCCCAGGAACGGGCTCCCATTCTGACCTCTCCGCGTTCTCCCTGCGGGCTTCTCCAAAAAGCAGATTGGACTGTCCTCACTTCTCTCATCCGCCGGTGATTTCTCCCAGGATTCAGCCGTTGCATATAAGACGTCTGTCCTCATCCCTTGGTGACTTTTCCTCCCTGGCTCCCCTCATCCCCGATGGTTTCTCCCAGCAGATAATTAACTCTCAGCAGCGCGGTGTATCCCGAAAGGCAAATTAGCTTTTCTAAATATAACACAGAACACCAGACACCATAGCCAATACCTCCTTCCTTCCAGAAGCCTACTTCAACCAGGGCCTTATCCCCGCGTTCTACGCTGCAATCCTCGCCTCGCTCTAAGAAAACCCGCGGGAGGACTAGTTCTCCGTACGGAATGGACACGCCTCAAAGATGGCGGCTCGCGCTCAGAAGCACTATTGGGTGAGGCCATGTTCGCGGCCCGACAGCGTCTCTTACGGAAACTACGCCATGCCGACTATTGGTATATGCGGCTTCCAAGGTAACACTCAGAGCATGAGCGACAGCGACTGTCCCTGAGAGGAGGTGCTGGAGGTCAAACCGGAAGCGGAAGTGGTCCTCGAAGGCTTTTTAGCCGCTGAGGTCTGGAGCGTCTCCGCAGTTTAACTCCGAGAGGTCTCTGAGGTGATTTTGGTTCGTCATGATTAGGGATTTTGGGGGTCGGTGATGGGTGTGTTGTCCGTAGAGTGAGTGAGTGTGGTTTCTGGGTCTATGGCGTCCGCTGCTGTGAGGGCAGTGATAGGAGTCTCTTGGCTCAGTGATGAGTGTGGGATTTGTTGACACGGTGATGGGAGTTTGTGGTCAGTGACTGATCTGTGGGGTCAGTTATGAGGGTCAGTGAGGTCTGTGATGAGCTCGCTTTCTAAACATTCATAAGGTTTGGTGTGTAGCATTTTGTTCAAATCTAAGTACTGTTTTTTTCTTCAATTTTAGTTACTTTTTTCAGTCATGAGATATTTAATAGTGCATTCTCTATCTCAGTGCCTCTGGGTAATGCTCGAATTTAAAAATTGCTTTACAGGGGCGCCTGGGTGGCGCAGTGGGTTAAGCGTCCGACTTCGGCTCAGGTCATATCTCACAGTCCGTAGGTTTGAGCCCGATGTCGGGCTCTGTGCGGACAGCTCAGATCCTGGAGCCTACTTCCAATTCTGTGTCTCCCTCTCTCTCTCTCTCTCTCTGCCCCTCCCCCGCTCGCTCTCTGTCTCTCAAAATAAAATAAAGACATAAAAATTTTTTTAAATAAAAATAATTTAAAAATTGCTTTACAGTCTAGTTCATGGTCAGTGTTCATAAATGTCACATCGATTGCATCAAAGCAATGGGTGCTCTCTACTGTGTTGTCTCACAGTTTATCTTGTTTGCTTAACTAATTACAGAGAACTTGTCCTTTCTGCTGTCAGCTTCTGCTTTGTATATTTGAAACTATTATTAAAATTAGTTGTTTATTTTTAATAATAGATATGACTAACTCAAAAGACACAATAACAATTCTAGCTGTCACCAGTAATTTATAAAAGGGGTCATTTTCCTAATTTCCAGTACTGGATTTTTTTTAAAATAACTTTTTACTATCCTAAGGAGAAATTATATCTAATTGCTCTGCTGCATTTTCCTATTAGTAAAAAAATTTGCCTCTTTTTGGTTACTTACCATTTAAGTTTCCTTTTCTGTGAATTTTCATATCCTCTGTACAGCATTTTTCCCCCAGGGCTTTTTTTCCCCCATATTGATTGCTAGATTTTTTTTAAATTTAGAGATACCCTATTTTCACATTTTGAAAAAAATGTGTAGATTTTTTCATTTTTATTTATTTATATGTTTTTTTAAATGCTTATTTGTTTCTGAGAGAGTGAGAGCACATGAAGAGTGGAGGGGGAGAGAGAACAGGGACAGAGGATCCAAAGCAGGCCCTGTGCTGACAGCAGCGAGTCAGATGCGGGGCTCAAACTCGTGAACTGTGAGATCATGACCTGAGCCAAAGTCAGAAGCTCAACCGACTGAGCTACCCAGGCGCCCCTTCATTTTTATTTTTAAAGTATGTTTTAACATGTAATTAGGAAATACCATCTAGCCAAAAATATCAGTTTTTTTCTTTTACAGCATCTGGGTTTTCTCACATGTGACCTAAAAGATTCCTTCCACCCCACACAATGTCGATACAAACACATACTACTAAAATTTATTTCAATTTTTTTAATACAAATACTTAAATGTTTAATTCTGCTGGAATTCAGTCTAATATATAGTGTGTGAGGGCGATCTAGTTTGTTTTTTTCTAGGTGAATGGTCAGTTATATCAGTGCCACTTACACCATAAATGTGCTCACCCAGTTGAATGCTGTTTTTGTTACATACATAAGTCAGTATTGTGTGAACTGTTGTTTTCTGTTTTGATTACACTGTTTTTATATTTAAGTTTTAATATCAAAAAGAGAATGGTAATTGCTGATATTTATTGGATGCTTCTTGTGTGCAGGGAGATGTTGAATACTTTACGAGCATCATCTCATTTAATTTTTATAACTTTAAAAAAAAATGTTTATTTATTTATTTTGAGAGAAAGGGAGAGCAAGCAGGGGAGGGGTAGAGAGAGAGAAAGGGAGAGAGAGATTCCCAAGCGAGCCCTATGTTGTCAGTGCAGAGCCAGACACGGAGCTGCTTTCACCAACCATGAGATAATAACCAGAGCCAAAATCAAGAGCTGAACGCTTAACCCACTGAGCCACCCTGATGCCCTTAATTTTTATAACTCTTGAAATAGGTACTTTCATCCTCATTTTTGAAACTAAAACGGAAGTAACTTGTTCATATTCTTATAGCTAAAAGTTAGCAGAGCTGCAGTTTAAATCTTAAGGAATATTATTCCATATCTCATTGACCAGTACTCTTCACAGGTTTTATTAAACTTTATGTTCTCTACAGCACTGGTTCTCAAAGTCTGGTTGCTGGACCAACAACATCAACATGACCTGGGCACTACTTCAAAATGCAAATTTTTGGGGCACCTGGGTGGCTGAGTCGGTTAAGCGACTGACTTTGGCTCAGGTCATCATCGCACGGTTCATGGGTTCGAGCCCCGTGTCGGGCTCTATGCTGACAGCTAGCTTAGAGCCTGGAGCCTTCTTCGGATTCTGTGTCTCCCTCTCTCCCTAACCCTCCCCTGCTCATGCTGTCTCTCTCAGAAATTAAAACACACACACACACACACACACATTAAAAAAAGCAAATTCTTGGGCCCTGCTATGGTCTGAATGTGTCCCCCCCCCCCCAAAATTTATGTGTTGAAATCCAGAAATACCATATTAGGAGGTGAGATCTTTGGGAACTGATTAGGTTCTAAAGGTGGACTACTCATAAATGGGATTAGTGCTGTTATAAAATAGATCCCACACAGAGGGTGCTGGCTATGAACCTCTAGTTAGGTCTCTCACTAAAATTTGACCATACTGTCGCCCTGATCTTGGACTTTACAGCCTCCAGAACTGTGATCAATAAATTTCTGTTGTTTATAGGCTTCCCAGTCTGTGGTATTTTATTATAGCAGCCTGACTGGACTAAGAAAGTTGCTACCCTAGGCCTATTGAATCAGAAACTGGGAGTGAGATGGAGGTTTTTACTGTATTTTAACAAGCCCTCGAAGTGTTTTGAATCCACAGTCAAGTTTGAGAGCCTCTGCTCTGTGTGTCTAGTTCAGGGAACTTCACCTTGGTGTTTGCAGGAAATGTTTATGTGATGAATGAGTATGTGACCATGTGGACATTGTCATTTCAGGTTTCTTGTTGTCTCTGGGTTAGATCTTCTCCAGACTTCAGCCTGCCTCCCCCCCCCCCAACCCCACCCCCCCCAGCAGCTCTGCTTGGATTTACTGATGTCTACCAAGCTTTAGGCTCCTGAGAGAATAAAGTTTGAGACCTACTATGATGATGCCAGCTAATCAGACCTCTCCCCAGAAATCCCTGATCCTGGTTCCAGAGGAACATGACAGTTCATATGAGGTGAGAAAGAAGAATCTTAGGGGGAAGGAATTCATCCTGGGAGTAGATATCTCTGATGGGTCACCAGTGGCAGATGGGCCACAGGAAGTAACCACACTCTCTTACTGCCCTAAAGCAAATCTTTATCTGTCTGCCAAGAATGGGCAATATTATCTCCACACCTAGAGGCCAACTATATGATAGTTGAGAGGTGAAATGTCAAAAACTGTCTTTTATTTTGTCTTCATGCCATATTGATCTTTTGGCTGAGGATAAGCTTCCTGATTAGAAATCATTTTTGGGCACAGTGTTGAAACTATTTCTCTATTTCTTCTTTGTTTAGTGAATTTTTTTTAAATGTTTATTTATTTTTGAGAGAGAGACAGACAAAGTCTGAGCGGGGGAAGGGCAGAGAGAGAGGGAGACACGGAATATGAAGCAGGCTCCAGGTTCTGAGCTGTCCGAACAGAGCTTGACATGGGGCTTGAACCCAGGAACGGACTTTGGATCATGACCTGAGCCGAAGTTGGAGGCTTAAGTGACTGAGCCACCCAGGCGCCCCTCTCTATTTCTTCGTAAACTCCTTCTCCCCACATAAATATTTCTCTATTCTCTTTGTGAAATTTATTTTTTAGATGTTCGTTCTTTGTTGATCAGTTTTATGAGCTAGTTCCAAAAACATGTTAATCCTGACAGGTAAAAAATATGAAACTTTGCTATAATTTTGATTTTGTTCTCAACCAAGAGCATTAAATTAGAAATATGAAGTAAAAGACTTTTGAACAGCATTGGGAATAGACTTAATATCACTGACCTATACATTTTAAGATGGTAGATTTCATTATGTATATTTTACCACAATTTTAAAAAAGTAAAAGTCTAGCAAAAGAAACCCCATATCTGAAAACTTTTTTTCTGTATATTCTTTAAAGGAAAAACCATAAAGGGTCTTAGAAAATTCTTTGAATTGAATCTCAATTAAATAAAGAACTGTATTTTAAAGTTTGTGGTGAAGCTAAGCTATAAATAGAGAGGAAAAGTATAGATTTTAATGCCTTTTTAAGGAATCCTTGAAGTTTGGGGGGGAAAAAGACCTAAGGTATGAGTGACACTTAAAACTGAAGAAGTTAGAAAAAGAACTCTATAAAGTAACAATAAGGACAAAACAAAAGATAAGGAAAGGAATTAGTCACATGGAGAACAAAACTAATTGATGAAGATGTCTGACAGAAGCGTAAGTAGCTTTTACAGGCGGATGATCAAGAACAGAGAGTAAAGATACACTTCAAATATGTAACAAAACAGATTGAAACATTCTGATTTAATATTATGCAAAATCATATAAACAAAAGGAATATAGCTTTACAAAAAATAAATGTCAAAATTGGTGAATACAGATGGTTCAGAAACCCTTCAAGAAATTAAAATGTTTATAAAACACACAGTCAAAAGTGGTAGTAAACTTCATATGGATTTACACTTGACCTGTAGGCCAAAGTTTGGGTAAAGATGGTATCTAAAATTATTTCCAGGGGTGCCTGGGTGGCTCAGTCAGTTAAGCATCCGACTTTGGCTCAGGTTATGATCTCATGGTTTGTGGGTTTGAGTCCTGTGTCGGGCTCTGTGCTGACAGCTCAGAGCCTAGAGCCTGTTTAGGATTCTGTGTCTCCCTCTCTCTCTGACCCTCCCCTGCTCATGCTGTCTCTCTCTCTTTAAGAAATAAATAAAACATTAAAAAATTAAAAAATAAAATTATTTCCAGCCTTCTTTGTGGTATTTGTGTTATTTTGTTTACTCTGTTAAACTTGATGCCTAAACCAGTCAAGGACAGGAAAAAAACTGGAAATTATGAATACAGATTCAGGAGTCAAATGTGTTAATTAACTAAGTTCAAAAATACATGAAAACAGTAGCCCAGTAGGGCTTATCACAGGGACACATGAGGCTGACACTACTTTCTCATTTAGCAGTCAACTCCAAATCAAAGAAGATAGTAAGATATCTAAAACAACAATATAAAAATACTATATATCAAAAATTATATATATCAAAAATACTATATATCAAAAATATATAGCAAAATAGTGTTGAGAAATAATTTAGAAAAAGTGTCTTATGCAAATAAATGTAAAAACCTAGATGAAATGGATAATTTTTTAGGAACATAATAAATTCTCCACCAAATCTTTAGTTACTGTTTACCACATTTTCACTTTTAGGTACTAAGATTTTTAGTTAAGTAATTCCTAATTTTTAATAAAATTAGGATTTTATTAAATAAATTAGGATTGCAGCTTTAGAGAGATTTATTTGCACTGATTTTATTCTGCTTCTTGGAATGTTAAATTTTGTGTAAAGTGTGTATGTGGGTGTGCCTGCACGCACAAATTTTATGTTTAACGTTTCTGAATATTACATAGGCACCTGAAAAGACTGTTTCAAGATACAGAATTTGCTGTCTTATCAGTAAGCTATCTTATGTAGTTAGGAGGTTTTTACAAGTGTGGTTTATTTATTTATTTTTATTTATTTACTCTGTTGAAAGGGAAACATACTAAATTTCCTACCACGAATATATTTCTGTCTATATTTGTAGTTTCTGTGAATGAATTTTGATGCTATGAAATTTGGTGCAGTGATAGTAATGACATCTGAAATTAATTTTGGATTATGTCTTTGTTATGTTTAATATTTTTTCCCTAGAATTCAGCCCTATCTGATTTCAGGCTCTTGTTTCCTTCCTGTTGGCGTTTCCAGATATATCTTTTGCTCATCCTTTTACGGTCTTCGGAGTCCTTGTGAACTTTTTTTATATAGCATTTGGAAAAGATATATTTTATGTACACTTTTGATAAAGATATTCTTTCACCTTAGACCCTATATTCTTGCTCTTGTTTCTTTGTCCCTTCCAGTAATTTGGAAGGTTTGGTTTCTTTTTTGTATGGTTGGTTCTTTTAGTGTGGTCTTTATCACATTAACTTCTTGAATTCTTTTCTCTTTAGACAGTATCTAATAAATTTATACTGTGAAAAATGATAAAAGTTGTTTCCATTTCAAGTATTCTGTTAGATGTTTTTATTAAACTATATATTTTTTCTGTTTTCCTTTAAAAGTTTCATGTTGCTCACTTGTCTTAATCTTTGTTGCTTTTTTTGTGTTTTCACATGGTATTTTATTGCTTTCAGAGAGATCTCCGTTTTTGTGTTGCTTTTTCTTTTTCACTTCTTTATAGAGTGCTGTCAATTTATTTTTCAAAAATTTGAATAACCATTTGCTTTAACCTGTTTTTCCATTATTTCTTCCTTGGGCTCTTAATCCCTATTTATTTTAGGTTTTTGTCTTCGTGAATTCATTGAAATCATGGTGAATGTGTTTTCTTCTGTCATGTGACAATTTATTTCTAGCATATTCCTTTTAATTTCTTCTTTTTTTCTCTCATTCTTTTTACTTATAGTATCTTTGTACATCAGGAGATGTTTATTATTATCTTTGAATGAGGAGATTTTTTTCTTGGACAAACTGTTTATCAGAAGCTCATTTGGTAAGGAGTCAAAGCTACTAATATGACATCTTCTTTATTCCCCATTAAAGTCTGATGACCTTGGGTTTGGGGGGCTGGGGTTTTGGTGTATGTAGGGTATGGCTATGCCAGTGTGTGAAAGAGAAAAATCGGAGCACATGTTTTTTTGCAAGTATATAGGAAGCATTTTCAAAGAAATGACATTGTTTTAAGCTCCATAAACAATCAGCACATCATAAAGAAGCAGACTATAATCTCTGAACAAAATTAAATGAAGAAATAAAATAATAGCTTTCAAATACCATAATTTTAAACATTAAAAGCCACAGATATCTAAGATATACTTTCCAAAGAGAGAGAGAATACTTTCTCTATCCCCTTGTCCTTCCTCTATACTCATTCCCTCCCCTAAATTCAGTGGCCTGCTCTCTACATACCACTCCTGAATCTTCATCTCCATACTAGCTCTCTTTTCAACTACTAAGTATACACCCTTATATATGTCTTATCACCTAAATTTCCATACGTACAAAATTTAAATCATTATTTCTTGTCTTCTTCCCCCATCTCTTCCTCTAATTCTTAAGTCCATCTGTAACACCAAAATCTATAGTTGGACAGAACTAATAACTGGTAATTAGTTGAGTCTCTTTTTCTCACCTTCACACCTGTTATCAATTTTATCTTTTTAATATCAATTCCTTCTGTACCTTTACTACTCCAGCCTTAAGTTTAGGTAAGTAAGAAATTTATATTCTCTCACATAAATTGTGCAGTGAGTCTCATGCCTGATTTTCCGTTCTTGTCTATTCCAAAATGTTCTGTTTTAAGAATACACATTCTTCAATATATTTTTTTAAACTTCTTATTTATGTTGAAACTATTATAGATCCTCAAAGGGCATTGTGAAACATAGTACAGTGGTGGTGCGTGATTCTTTTTTTTTTATTACTGGTTGTAATTTGTTAATATTTTTTGAGGATGTTTGCATCTAGGTTCATGAGAGATAGTGACCTGTAGTTTTTTGTACTGTCTTTGTCTAATTTTGATATCAAGGTAATGCTGGCCCCACAAAATTAGTTGGGAAGTGTTCTCTTTTGTTTTCTGGATAAGACTATAAAAATAACACTAACTCCTCTTTAAATATTTAGTTTAATTCTTTAATAAAGTATTCTGGGCCTGGAGATTTCTTTATTTTTTTAGGAGCTTTTAAATTAAGAATTTAATTTAATGGTTATAGGATCATCATCTTTTCTGTTCATAATAGCTGAGTTTTGTTAATTTGTGATTTTTGAAGAAATGATACATATCTTCTAAGTTTTTGGATCTATCTATTAGCATTGAGGCTTTGTATTCTCTGTATTTACCTTTACCTTTGCTCTTAGCCAAAAGGCTGAGAAGTGATTTGTATTTCCCTTTAATTGGCAGCTGGATCTGTAATATTTTTCCTTTTTTTTAAACTTTTTATTTATTTTGAGAGCGAGAGCATTCATGCAAGTTG